ATGCGTTTTGGACACATTGTACTCATACAACTGGATCTCATTTCAAAAATTGCGATTTGCCCAGAGAAGTGTGTGCAATCGAATCGGCTGCTCGTCATAATCCAAGTCGAAGAATTTTCGTTCTGTTTGCATCGCCAGCGGATTCGAATGCTCAGAATGCTGCCTTGCAATCGTATGCAAACGTGCATTTCATGAATGTGAACCTGGACACTTTTGTGGAAAAGACGCCAGCCTAGCAATTTTATCAAAGTGGAGAGCTGTTCACCTCGGTTTATAAAGTTGAGCACATGTCTGATTTTTTACGATTGCTTGTCTTGTATAAATTCGGTGGTATTTACCTTGACACGGACGTTGTTGTGCGGAAAAAACATGATGACTTACCTGCAAATTTCGTGGGGAAAGAGGCATATAAAGGAAACAATGTTGGCAGCTAGGGGGAAGAACGACTTGACGTATTTGCCGTTTTCACGTCCATTGGCAAGCATTTGCATAGCGCTCGTCTGTGTTATTGTTGTTGTTTTCATGTTGTTTCGCCTCGTTCGTAGTGAGCAGTGCTCGCTGAGCACGAATAAGAGTGGCAAATACGCATACATCTTCTAGCATTTGTTTATCGTATTTACACGTATTTACTTTTTGTTAGGCATTGGAAATATTTCCATGTTATCTTTGAATTTGTGTCGTTCTTTCCCCCCACGTTGGCAGCGTAAATTCTGTACTTGTAAATTTGTATCTTAAGTAAGATTCCCGAGTTTTCCAGTGTACTTTGCGACATAATTTGTTTTCAACATTTGGTTTTCTTTCTTCAATTTCAAATATTTCATTGATTAATTCAACAAAGAGTTGGTGAACAATTTCCACCCGAAAGAATGGAGTAATAATGGACCAAAACTTTTGACACGCGTGCTGGAGAATCAAGTCTGCCATACGAGCTTACCGAATATGACACCCGAGAAATTTGAGGGATTCAAAGTTTTTCCCGTTCGAGAATTTTATCCAATAAATAACGACGACTGGGAGCAGCTTTTCAATTCACAATTCGCGGAAAAAGTTTTACACACAGTTAAAAATGCAACGGTTCTTCACCTATGGAACAATTTGTCGCGCGGCAAAATTGTAACAAAATCAAATACAAAAACCGCATACGAAATTATTGCTGCGAAACATTATCCAATGGCATTTAAGACATCTAGAGAATATTTTTAAACTTGTTTCTGCAAGAGAAATTGAAATGAATATGTTGCTTCAGGCCTTAAATCTGGCCTTAAATCTTAACAATTCCTCGTTTTTGTTTTAAAAATATACCTTTTTTTCATAGAAGAATCAAAATGGCTTTTGTTCAAGAAAAAGAAACCATCATTTTGTATTATAGGGATAGTTAGAATTTATTTTGCGTGTATTTTGAAATGCGATGCATGATTTCTATGACATTTCCTTATATTTTTAAATTGGTTTTTGTAATAAAATTTGTATTCTTTTTTGTCAATTTCTTACGAAAACTTCTAAACTTAATCAATTAAAATATAATTTTACTTTCATCATTTCTTTATCACAGAAACTATAAAGGATTTTTGTTTGTCTTGATTTTCATTTCTTTGTTGTTTTTTTTTTTTCATTTCATTTGCTTTTGGTTAAAAGGCGCAATGTACAACATGTATTGAATAAATAAGGATTGAACTGTGTAAAGTAGGATCAACGCAACGAAGCTGGTGGTAGAGCGGGAGATTATCTTTTTTTCTGGGATGCAAAACAAAACGGCTAGTAGCTGGTGTGTCAAAAGTATTTATAGTGAGGATAATTTTCATGTTTAAATATGAATATGATTAAAACTGTTTAATTGTTAGTTTGTTGATCTAACATTTCTAGCAAACTATCTACTAGGCGTGTGCTGACGAGGGTGTGCTTGGCTCTACAAAATATTTTGTTAAATCTCTCCAACTACTTAGCTCATCGTCAATCTAAACAATGGAAGAAAACCCATGCTAAAATATCTTTATGAATTTTGTGTCTGCTTAACAAACAATGCGTCTAAATGGCGCTAGCGATTAGCGATTGGTTTTGTTTTTGTTATACCTGTATTTTCTTCTCTTTTTTTTCTCTCTCTCTCTTTCTTTCGATCCACGGACAAAAAGGTGCGATCTCATTTGAAATAACGAGAGGCTTACATAATAAATATCTTTTTGTTTTATATCTGTGTTTGAATTTCTGCAATAAACATTATTATTAAAAATAGGCTTGAGAAAACTATGGCCATCTGTTGAAGTTATAATATTTCATTAGTTTTATATCAAACGGTGGCAAAAGATGACATCAATACTGATTCTTCTCTTATTTCGGCATGGCCAACAAGATGTTACTTCAGTTAGCATTTCAAATTGAATGCACATCAAAACAGATTCGATTAAAATAGAAGAAGCAGTATCGTTGACACCACAAAGAACACTGCCACCGTATGATGCGATTGTGATTTTTAAATATATATGCATTCATTTTCTTTTGTTTTTCTATTTATAGTTTATTTTTTTCATTTTTGTGTCAATTGAATTGAATTCTGTTTCATATGTAAAATGGACTGACTGGCTTAATGGTTAAATGGAAATATTGTTACAGCGTTAGAATTTGATTGGTTGCCTGTAATAGTGAAGTGTGAATAAATATAATTTATGGTAATTTTGTAGTTATTCGTGTGCTTACAGGTGGTTCAAGGTTCTTCAAGGCTCAGACATTTTTTTTTTATTTGTTTTAACTTACACTTACACTGGAGATTCAAAAGAGTGAAAACCGGCTCTTCATTAGCATTTTTTTTTTGGACAATTAAATTGTTCTTCAAGTTAATTGTTTGCTTTTTGTTCGGAATAGTTTTTTAAGCTTTTTGGTTGTTGTTGTAGGCGAATTGGAAGAAAGTCCAAGTCAAAAATATTGTTGTTGCTGCTGCTGCTTTTGCTGAATGCTGCTGGCATGAGTAAAAAAGATAAGGACACAGATATTTCATTCACTTTTGTCACATTTTGTACATTAAATGGCTCAACAATAGCATCGAAACTGGCCGCACACATATCATATATGTGATGATGATGATGATGATGATGGAACCGGATGCTTCAATGTTTCATATATTCTTTTGTTTTGGTTTTCAGTTTCAACAGGTGTACATTTAAAATTGTTCATTGAGTAAAGTTAAAGTGCACTTCTTTTGTCTTCGTCGTCATCATCGTCATCTCTATCGCTTTTCTCTCTGTCTCTCTTTTCATTATTCCCAGATATCAAAATATGCATCGTTCAGTTTGCTATATGCATTTATGTGTGTTTGAAGAGATAGGCATATTTGCAAAGGATAGAAAACCAGAGGAAGGGAAATTCGGAAAATGCAAGTGAATTTTACGACTACAGACCATTTGGGTTATTTAGGTAAAGGCTAAAAAAAACAATTGAATTGTAACCGAGAGATGATTGATCTGAACTCTCTACGATTCTACTACTTATATTAAGGTAATAAAATTGGTCTAAATTTTGCAAATTAGGTCACTAAAAGAGAGGCTACGTGTATGTTTCTAAATTTATAACCATCTTCATTTATTATTAAATGGAACCACTGAACAGGGTTGTCTGTTCAGTTCATTCACTCAACTTCTATTCCATTTTTCTCTCAAACTTTCGAACGCGATTGGATTATCGATAAAGTCTAAACTCTAATTGATTCTAATAGAATTGGGGTACGGTTAACAATACTTATTTAACTGTTTGTAATTGGTAATTCTGTTGTATTTTTTGTCAGCTAATTCCCTATTTTCGGGATAATTTTTTTTTTTTCAATTTTCTCTAAGAAACCGTCCAATTGGTTAACCAGTTGATTCGATAAACTGAAGAACTTGACCGTTATTTACGTCATCTTTTAATTCTTGACCCAAAATAATTCTCTCTACTTCGTGTTCTAAATTGAAAATATTGCTATGTATTATTGGAATTACAATAATAATTTAGGACTTCTATCACATTACGATTTTTTTGTATTTTTATACTGGTTTCGTGCTTCTTTTTTTCAAACGCAGAAATCGGTGAAACGCAGAAATCGGGGGTGTCTAAGAAATTCAATGTGATTGTGTTGTGTTCTGAATGTTTGTTGGGAATGTCAATGCATTGTTATTGAGCTAAATCGCAAGTGGTTTACACTCACTTGGTGGAACTAAAGGCTCATATTATTTATTTCAGAACACTACGCATCATCGCAGAGATTGACTAAACAAATTGAAATTTTTGGATTTCTCTTATACAATTAGATGACTTAAATGTTTGTTCTCAATTTTCCGAAGAAATTACTATTCAATCATTTACATTACAATTCATTCGTCAATCCAAAATGATTCGATCATCATTTTCTGATGTATTTGTGTGTTTGTTGTTTTTTTTTCTTCATAAAATTAGCTAAAATTTGGCCGTTTTTTTTTGTCGTTCTCGAAAATTTCGTGTTTGGACGACGTTATTGAACAGTGATCAACCGTTTGAAATGCCGTCAGCTGCTTAATATGTAGAGTGTCACGTGTCCTTATTGCCATTTGATGATCTTACAGTACGTTACATGTTTTCTGTGAATTCAATGGACTGCTGTTTGGACACCGGAATACATTTGGAGCATTACCACCTTGCGCAATCAGCCAGCTTAAACTGTGGAGAAAAAAACGAGAAAAAAAATTAAAAATTCAATAGTTTTTAATATTTTAATGAAATAAATTGAATGTCTGCTGCCATTTGCGGATTACCAAATCCAATTAAATTCAAATCAAATATTTAAAACGGAAACAGCAACAATTCAATGTCGGAGTTGTCCAACCAACAAATTAATTTCCATTTTAAATATATTTAAATTAAGTAGGTTTCAATTCCAAAACCGATGCATATACTCACATATCTTTGAAATTCTCCGATTCGATGTTGATTCGGTCATAAATGGCATCGGCGCACATTGTCTGTGCTCGCACCAAAAAGAAGATTTGCGTCGGCAACAGATTCATATTCGGCAGTCGTAGCATCCCTTTAATTGGTCCCGATAACGACAGCAACGAATGATAGGCAATCTGTGTGCCACCGCTTTGCAATAACAAATCCATTCGGCTGCCATTCGCGTACACATTCACCGACGATGGAACACAACGCATCACTTTTGCTTCAAAAGCTCGTGTTATTGACCGCAAAATCTCTTTACCAATTGCAACACCAACGGAAGCATAATGCAAGTAAGATGGTAGCATTGCATCAAAATATGGTGTCAGCATAACCGATAGTGGAACGACAATCGAATGGCTTAACGTGTCGTAAAAGACTCGCGCAACGATTGGATAAGCCCATCTACAATCAGGTCTGGTTGTTATTAAGTAGTCGCCAGTTAGGGCAATAGTTGTAAAGTCGAATTGAATAGAAATGAAGGGAGAAGAGGTCGAAGAAGATTTATAGATGGAGAAGGATTATAAAGAGAAAGATTATAGAGTGAAAGTATATTTATAGATGGAGAGAGATAAAGTGTAAAATCCGAAGAATGAAAAGGATATGCATCGACTTACATATTATTGTACACGTTGTTAATGGTGTCCTCGACATCGACTCGTTGCATATTGTACAATTTGTAGATGTTCAAAATGTTTTGCATCCAATTGTCTGATGTAATTTCGACTCGATTGAGGATATCGTTGATTTGACTGAGATTTCGTAACACCGGCCAATTGGTTGCTTGCACTTTCAGCTGCGATAGTTTCACCAGTGCGGCTCCTTTCAGTGATGGTGCACGTTTCAAATGCGATTTTAACACTTCGAAAATGTGTTCCGTCTGCAAAGAGAAGGAGAAAAGAGAGAGGATAGAGGAACATTTACTCATTTCCATACACACATGCATGCATTTGTTCGTTCGTTCATTTATTCATTTCATGTTTTTAATAATCAATGGCGAACTGGACGGGTTACCCTTTCAACGATGCTGTCAATCGTTCGGTCCGAGTACTGTGCAGTGAATAGTGCTGATGTGATTTCTGGCATTGCCCACATCGTTGCTTTTGTGCAAACGGTTGCATTGGGCACATTTTCCGGAAGCATTCCAAGTGTAAATAAAACGATTAACGCATTGTGAGCGACTCGTGTTGAATGTCTCGCTATCAATTGTTCAACATTGCGTAGGTAGCTGCCGCTTCGAATGAGTATCGGTCCGGACCAATTTGACGGTGTGATTAAATTCTCCCAGTAGAGCTATAAAAAGAGGATGGAACGAAGGCGAAAAATTTATTTCAGCCCAAACAGTCATTTGTCAATCGGATTTTTGGGGGGATGCAGAAGCTACTCACAAATGGATAAGTTGTGCTCAACATAGACACATTGTATAGCACATAACTATCGGAAAATCCTTTTCTCAAGCTCTCTCGACGCAGTTGAGTTAATTGCCGAATGAAATTAACTATTGAATCGCGTTCGAAGTCCCGTATGTCCGCGTCCAAACTCGTCGGCAGAAACATATCAATTAGAGTGTCCAGCAATGGCGGTACATCGTATCGAATGTCAAACGGTGCCGACTTGGGAGCAGCCCATCGTATGGGATTGTTTTGTAGCATAGGCGACGATTCCAACGAACTATCAATTATTAACATTGGCTGTGGCTTTCGGCCATAACTTAAATCATAGTAAATTGAAACTAGCGGTATCGGTCCGAAATCGCTAAGTTTCAATATCAAACCACCGATGGTTAATGGTCCGGTTACGGTCGGTGGCATATATAAACCAAATTGTTGCATTTTTAATCGCACAAACGAGGAATTTATCGATTGTCGCAAACAACTCTCATATAATCGACCCAATTTTTGAAACGGTCCCGTCGACGTATTGTGTTGCAATAGTTCTATATACACGCACACGGGACGATAAATGTATGTGAGAGAAAAAAAAACGAACGAAAAAGAGCACGAAAAAAAATGTTGGAAAAAATTCCGTCATTATTTTACTCTGATTTTTTTTTCTTTCATAAATTGTTTTTTTCTTGTGTTGTGTTACCGTTACCGTCGTCATACTTACGTTGCATTAATGTGTCGACTCCTTCCTGTACGCTCTTAATAGTTTTTCCATTGCCTTTGGTCGAGCCACAGCTGAAACTGGTAAAATCTTTGCATGGGTCGATTTTCCAGTTTGAACGGGCGAGTATACTAATTGTTGCTTGCCGACAGGCAACCGCATTGCACTCAGGTGTTGCTGATACTGAGCGTGTCGATACGCAATTAACATCGCTCTTTGTGTTACAATCTTTGGGCAGTTGTGACGGTGCGGTGCTCAATAAAAAGAGCACCGGTGACGCAACTAACAATGATGTTACCAACAAAGTCGCAGTCGTTAATGCGATTTTGTGAACCGTTGCAGACGTTCGCAGCCAAACACACGGCATGCAGCAAATCCAGCCAGCTGTTATCTATGTGAAATTGGGATACGAAACAAAGTGTGGGGAAAAAACAGAGAACAAAATTAATGAGAAATTTCAAAACCGAGAGTGATAAATACTATGGGACGAAAAATGAGAGAAAAAAAGCCGCCGCAGTTTAGTTTCTCGCAATCCAAATGGAAAAAGCACTTATTCGGATGGGGCTTACAGCAAGTGATAGTGAGTGAGAGGTCAGTAGTGAGAGAGTGTGTCGGCTATTTAGGTCAAAACAGTTGCCTGCATGGATATTTTCGTTTCCGATTTCAATGCGTTTTTCCACTTTACCCAAGTCTATTTTAATGCAAGTTTTTTTCTACATCTCTCTGAGGGCATTTCAATTTTCTTGTATCGTTCCGGGGGCAAAAATATACTTCATTCCCACAACGGACACATACTCTTTTCCTTGATGCTTTTTTTTCTTGCTCGTTTCGGGTTTTTGGCATAAAAATAGAAATATCGCCAAACGGAATTGAGCCATTCGCGACATTTTCATACTGTTTGCATGTGATGGTTTAACGATTGCCCAAACGGCATACATATAAATTCAAAAAGTCAACTGGTACAAATGTTCACGACGACGACATCGCTGCTGGAGTTTTTCATTTTCGCACACAGCAAGAGCATAATGATTCAATAAATTCCCTTTTTTTCGCTTTTGTGTCCCGTTTGTTGATGGACGCCAGCAGTGAAATGAACAATGTCGTTTTTTCATCCATGTGCGCGCTCTTGTTTTCATAAGGATATTATTAAAATGGAGAAGGGTTACAACAACGCCAGCGGGAGGAAAAAAGCGCGCAAAACTTTACTGCATTTCATTATTGTCACTCGCAAAGCGACCGAGCATATCTACTTCAAAGTGGTATGACATTGATACTTTCAATCGTATAATCAAACATCGGTGTGTTTTGCGCGCGCAAATGGCGCAGCAACTACTTGGTTGAAACCAAGACCAGATTGTTGTAAAAACAGAACAAAACAACAACTTTGGCTTCATTTTTGAATGTCATTTCGCCAAGTGAGCACAAGAGCCAATTTTCGAATTCAGAAGCGCATTAAATTAAAGCGCAATTTCTGTATATACTCCAAAGAGTTTATTGGGGTGTAAAGTGCAACAACAAAAAATAACTGCACCGAGTTTGCATTAATGAGAGATGATTTCCCAAAGAATGCAAGTAATTTTCGTTGCGCTTCATCGATGAACACGAAGAAGAAGTGGAAGAAATGAAATGGTTTATGAAGAAGAAGAGAAAAAAGACGGAAAAAGGAAGAGAGCACTGTCAGAATGTGTAAGGAAGTCAATTTCGCAAATATTCGTTTCTGTGCGCTCGCGGAAAAGTGGCTTATTTTCAGATTGGGATCGATAAACGGCAGCCACGGGCTTTTGGCACGCGCTACAAATACTTGAACTGGAATGTTCCATTGTTGGCAGTGGCAGCGGTGGCTCCTCCATTCATCATTGGTACTTTTTATTTTCGCCTGCATTTTTCATGTACTTTTCTCTCTTACTCTCTTTCTCCTGCACGCTGTTTTTTTCTCGCTCACATTCTCTCAGTTTTATTGCGATTCAAACATTACACAACCGTTCCGTTTGATACATTTGCGCTTATTTTTCCTCCTCTTCATTCTTTGTGTGTATGTTTGAAATAAAAGTCTGATATAGATCTAGCCGGAATGAAATGTACCAACAAAACAACTGACGATACACACGGCAATATCATTGCATATGCAAACGATATCGATATTCGTCGCTCTCTTCCTTTTATTCTCCTGTATTGTCTTCTTTTGTGCTTGTAAACAGCTGAAAGACCGATTTAATTTGATTGCGTCAAGAGTGTACTTCTATAAATGACAACCGATTCTCTTTGGGTGCTCACACACTTGGCATTGACAATATATATCTAGTACAAACGCAACGATGTGTATTGTTCACATCTAACAAACATTGTGAATGCATAAATAAATTAATAAATAGCGACTTCGAACCGAAGCGAGTATCAACGCGGTACGGTATGGTGGTATAAGATATAACGGCAGCCAAACAAACAACAAATGCAATGGGAAAATGTCACAGCTATTTTGCTTAAATGTTCATCACTTAGATTATTCATTTAGTTTGCCGAGAACACCATTCTCTAATATTTCAACAGATATTCTTCGAGTTTGCCCCCGTTACAGACGTCGCTGCCGTCTTCGTTTGTCGTTGCCGTCAACATTCTTGTTGTTGTTGTCAATTTTGGTAGACACTTAAGTTCCGTTTTTGCTTTGAAAATAATTTCCCCAGATTTCATTACATCGTAAACTGTTATTGAAACAATCCGGTTGGGTTTTGTGGGTTTACGCAAACTTTTCTACTTTTCAATTTATAACAATAATAATCATAATTTTTCGGTGGCAAAACTCGACTCGGATAATTCACATCGGATGCGGATTAATCCTCTTAAAAACTTGTATTTTATTCATATTGCATGAATAGCGGCGATGAACATGATTTTGATATCCATTATCCATTTTTTATTTCATTCCTTTTGGTGGTTTGGCAACACCAATTTTACATCAGGAAGTTCAATTGGGATTTGAGTAAGCCAAAGCCAATGTTAAATCGGAATCGATCGATGAGTTTCATTCATTATTAAACTTTTTTTATTCAACAGTACCATGCCATGGCCGAGCTGTGCTTTCATTTAAATGGGAAATAATCATAAAAGGTTTTTCATGCACACATTTCGATTGCGATATACCTTTCGATTTTCCCTTCATAATTCGAAAAATGCCAAACAGTAATCAGGTATCAGGTATTTTATCTAAACATCTTTAGAACGAGCTTTCAATGAGTTCCGTGACTGAACTGTGCATTACACCGTTTCAATGTATCTGCTTACATTATTTATCACATCGCAAACATACACACGGTCGATGTGGAAAAGGCACCCCATGGCATTGGCGAATAGACGAAACGAGCGTGAAACATCGTTTCGATTAATATATGGCGTGTGCTTCATTTCCTCGGTTTCATGGATCGCTCGTTTATAGCGCACTAAACGCAAATAAATCCAAACATCTTTGCTGTTGCCATTTTTAAACCACACTTCAGTTGATAAGTTCATCGAATAGTCAATGAAACCCTTTGGATAAGTTTTAAAAAAAAGAAACATGTTGAAGAGGTAAGTTTAAATAAGAAGTACGGTGGTTCTTCATTCCTATCCCCAATGCAAAGCATTTGAGCAGCGCCAAAGTGGACGGATTAAAGTGGATGTGAACCATTTTTATTCGCTCCATTTTTTTTCTCCTCAATGATACATAATACAATTTAAGAACAGCGCACTTTCTTAGCTTAATCCGGTTTCCGTCAGACAGATATGTTACAAAGACTCAAGGCGAAAAAAAACGAAAAAGAAATGCGATGTTGCGACAACATTCAAAATAAGAGCGGCACAGAATAAATCATTTTGGCCTGCACGAGACGAAAGCCATTATTTTTCTTTTCTGTTGACGCAACACAAAAAAAGCAGAATGAACGAAGAGAGAAAGAATCTTTTGGAAATTTGTTGGCACTATGGCAGCGCTTGATTTACGTCACACTGACTGATAATAGTGCGGTCGAACAAAGCCATTTTTGGCACACAACACATCAAAGTTTGAATACAAACTGTTATCTTCGTCTGCAGAACTGAGAGGGAGAGAGAGGAAAAACAGTTTTTGGAGATAAAAATCATGGAACGAAGACGATCCCAAAACATTATTTTATCATTTTTGGTTTGAACAACTAAATCTCATCATTTGTTATTTTGCGCGCAATGTATTTAGTTTGAGCGAGAAGAAAAAAAAACCGAAACGCATGCAAAGCATATGGTTCGATTATCGTTTATGGCAAACAATTGGAAGTAAATCAAGCTGCTTCGTATTCCAAAATCATGTTACTGTTTCCGTTTTAAATATTTGATTTGAATTTGATTGGATTACTAATCGGCAAATGGCAGCAACCGCAGCCGCAAATGGAAATAGTGTGTTATTTATGTTGACGAACTGAACTGCTGGCTTGCTTGCATTCAAAGCGTACCAATTTGAAACGCATGCAAATTTTCTCCATCTGTTCCGAGCAGTAGGTTTTATGTGGTGAATTGACGCAAAACCGCCAAATGACAACATAAATAGCCATTTTTATCAGAGGGAAAGAGAGAAAACGATAAATCAATTTATGCGAACAATGTAAAACCGCTAAAACCACTGGCATTTAATCAAATAGCATTTTTTAACAAGGGATTCATCGACTCAAACGATTCGGATTTTCACTGTTCATATACGGACTGATAAAGCTATTTATAACCAGCCGAGTAAATACGATCCGACAGGTATTTTAATTAGAAGTATTGATTTTTGTTTGTGTGTTAAAAATTAAATCAGCTCATCGTAGCCATCGCGTAGCTATGTTCGTCTATGTAAACACACTCACACACACACACACACACACAATTCATGGCGCCATTCATCGAGTATGATGTGACACTTTTGCAAGTGACACATTAATTCATTTTGCTTGATGACTTGCCAGTGGATTTGTGTATGTTTTTGCCAGCGAATATATATCGTGGCCCATACACAGACACAATGGGTCGCTCAAAATTTTCACTATGAATTTTACAAGCTTCGGGCATTGAGTGATATATCCCAAAAATGACACTGACAATGGTCCATTCACCGACCGAAAAAAAAACTTGCTCCAAGTTCAAATTACTTGTAAAACTTTGTCGCAACAACGTCTCCGTCGCACCGTCGGGCTCTCACTCTCTACCCTCTCGATTCGTTCTGAATCAATTACGAAACTTTTACCGTTGATGAATGCGTGTGCGTGAGCGCGCGCCTAAGTTCCATTTTAAGCGGATATTGAGAAATCGTTGCACGGATATCACAAGTATTCATTGTAATGATGAACAAAACAAATGAATAAATGTCGAACACAGCGGACTACTTTGGAGAAGCAACAAGAAAATAAAGTATTGCAAATGTAAATAAATTGAAAATAGGGAAATTGCCACTAAATCCTATTAACAAAGTTAGCTAATGGAAATGGCTTGAACAGCGCTTAAAATCGATTTTATTGTCTTCAAAGGGAATGCACGTTGTCGTCGACACTTTTTCTTCCGAACGCAATTCAGTCGTCGTCACGTCGTAGGCGACAGTCATCGGAACGAATGAGCGACACCGATGGAACGAATCAGGATAAAGCAGAAAATCTATAAAGAAAAACGAATTCGAAATGGTTTTGCTCGATTTTAAAATTTATAGCCACTTAAATCCACGTTCCGAAATGGCGCACGTCAATTATGAAATGTAATATTGTACATAATAAATGAAGAGAAATTTCACCCAAGAGATAGAAATTGAAAATTTCTTTTTGCTGCAAGTTTTTATTCGATGAAGAAAAAAAACGCAATGTGAAAGAGAGAGCGAGATAGAAAAAAATGTGAATCAATAAATCTTATTTATGGCCAAGAAATGCACTTTACAACATGAAAACGGTGCTGCGCTTTTATGGCTTTGTCGGATGAAAAGCTCATATTGTTTCCGCCGTGAAAACTCCGCGCGTTACTTCGTGTATGAAAATAAAAATATTTTTGGTCAACTAATGAATGCAATTGATAAATTGTTGGCATTAATCTTCCTTTTTCATTGCATAAAAATGCAATAATTTATTCACGTCAATATAATTAAAATGCATTCAGCGAGGTAGAATGCGAGGGAACGTGAGTGTGAAAGCCATTGGAGTAATTGATTTGTTGCGAGTTATTCGTTTGAAAATGTAGAATACGGAGATTAGATCGACATAAATATGTTCATATAGACACACAGACACACAGAACACATACACAGAAGAACCGCACACAATACGCTGAGCGCCAATTAAGACTGGATGTATTGTAAGAAGAATGGATGAAAGCAAATGGATTTGAATGGCTTGACAATGGTTGCTTCATTGAGGCGCATAAACATGAAAACAGAATGCAAATCACATACTCACAAGCAAACACATACACACACAGAGAGATTGATGCAATAGCAGCAGATGAATGCCATCTTTTCTTTTGCAATTAAAATGTGTGTACAGCGTCAAACACCATATTCTCGATTCTTCCAAAAGGGTCAAAAAGCGTTCGAAATGAACTTTGGAAATTTCTTTTTTCTCATCTCGCTCACAAATGAAACGGAAGCAAATGAATGCACAAAGCCATTCCGTTCTTCGTTCATTGAAACCACAACAATACGGACAAAAAAACTACGCAAATTCAAATGCAAGAGATACTCTTTTGAAATGGAAATTTGACTATTCATATGCTACGATGTGCTTACTTTGGTGCGGGAATGTTCTGCAATGCCATTCCCAATGTTGGTGTGATTATGATGGTTGATGGCGCCAGACTCGAGCACTTCAATTTCATCCGTTTTTGATGGATGCAGCAAATGGATGTTGGATCGTGATGGTCGATGGCTCGATTCCATGCCATATCTCGGTGGGATTTCTCCAGTCATTGCATCAGCCAATCTATTATTCGGTCGGTCGCTCTCTCGCTCGTCTCCCACTCAATCCTTTTAATTCGATCAATCACTTAATTTTTGTTTACACACAATGGCGCCAAAACGTAATCCACACGGAACGCAACAACATTCGATGATTGAATATGAATAACAATATTTCCCGTTTGCCTCTTCTCGCGCTTACTCGCTCATTCGCTTGGGGAGCTGCTGGTTTTTTTTCTGCTGCTCCAACGTACTTTTATATTTGTTTAATGAAGTTGAATGCGTGAGGTGAAAAGCGCTGTGTGCTATATGCTGACGGCTACCTCACTCCTATCACCCGTATGCATATATGGTTCACAGATATATTAATTGGTTCACATATATATTACCATAAACACGGTAACAACAGCAAACGGGGCACTTTATACACGCTTTGTGCATGTGTTAAGCGGGTGTTTTTATTTTAGTTCCATGCGCGCCTGTGTGTTGCAGCAATTCTCTGTAGAAATATGCTTCTTTTTTGCTGTTGTTGTTCTGCTTTCCTTTTCTCTTCACTCGTGATTCTTTACACTTGCTATTGTGTGTGCTTTTTCTGATGTTCTTGCTTCTGCTGTTGTTGGTGTTGTCGATTTTTTTGTTGTTGCCCTTTTCGTGTTTGATTCCTTTTGCAGCCGTGTTTTTAGTTCATTCGCGCTCCGGATAATTCGATAGCTCACATCAGCTCGCGACGTATGTATATAGTTTGGCTATGAGTTTTATGGTATCGTTCAAAGTAATTACATAAATTCCAACTCAGCTCATGTGCATACAAATCAACTGCAAACCTCAAACATTATTGCCGCTCATTGGATGTGGTAATTTTTTCCCTCCCTAATTTTTCTTTCTTCTTTTTTTTCTTGTTTTGTGTTACAATAAAACTAAAACCCAACAATTTAACAATTTTCAAATGGATTCATTCGATTATTAGAAAAGCTAACCAAATTAGCCCGTAAAAAATCAATGTTCAAACTTTTTTATTTGATTTGATTTTGTTGCCGTTTTTCTTTTTTTATTTCTTTGAGTTGTGTCATGACGTTTACATCGCAGAGAGAGAGAGATAGAGAGATGGAAATCAAATAAAAACCGTAAAAGTACTGATTGTTACATTCGTTTGGTCCTCGTGTTCGTTGTCATCTCTCTATTTCATAGAATATCGATATTTACTCATCAGCGTGCGCTCATGTTCATATTAGATTGGGTAGCAAAAATTGATTTTCGACTTTGATAAATTCTTGTTTTTTTTTCTTCAATAAATGTTATCGTTGTGCAAGCACTTCACTTGTTAGATTACCATCGTAATTGACGAACGAAACCAAATTCACATTTCATTTACACGTTTTATTTGCTGAAAATAGCATTGAATTTTCTTGATTCGATTTTTTTTTAACTTTGGCTTATATTATTCACAACTCAATTTCCGCTTCTCGCTCACTTACTCACACACACACATACACTACGAAACAAAGAAAAAACGAAAGAACAAATTGAATTTTACTCTTTGCTCTCTCTCTCTCTCTAAATCGCTATACTCGTTTATCGCACGTTTTATTTACAGCAAAAATATTACACCGAAAATGCCATCGAAATGGAACTGCCAATTTGTAACAACAATCAAGACCACGGTCAAATGTTCAAAACCGAAGAAATCAAGAGGAAAAAAGAAACAGAAAAGTAAAAACTTAGTTTAACATATTACACACTGAACGACCAAAAAACGATAACAACATCGAGGAAAAACGAAAATTTGCGTCCGTAAATGTTTAACGCAAATTCTCTTCTGCCAAACTCATGAGGTTCCCATCCACTTTTTCCTTTGTACATTTCGGGAATCGTGTGCGCTTTTATGTCATGCCAAGTTTGCCCCACGATTTGCTACACAGTCATAAACTGAAACATACACATGTGGGCACGATAACAGCATGTGTCAAAAATGGCTGGAAACACTGGAACACAGTGACAGCCAGTGGAAAATCGATTTATACGATTTTCCAAGTGGTTTGTGTCTTGGGTGCGCACTGCTTTGAAGGAAAACTATGTTTCCTTCGGTTTTGCACGTTACCTACCGTTTTCATAAATCGCTTTCTGAGGAAGTCTCAATAAGACAAAAATCCAAACGAACCATAATAAAGGAGTCTGTGAAAGGAGTTTGAAATGAGTCCGGAAATTGGAGCTGAAAATTTAAAAAGATAATGCTAAATGCAATTTCAAAATTTAAAACAAAAACCCATTTTCCCAACGTCCCTGTGACGGCAATGTTAACTTTATTCACATCATCTAAACACATTTCTCCCGAAATCGAACACAAGAATCTGTAAGCTATAAGCTAAACATAAGAATTTCGATTAAATTCTGAATACACAAAAAATGATTCAGAATTATGTTGCTTACAATGTATGGTTGATTGTTCCTAACAGCGAGCTGTTTCCGTTCATCAAAAAAACTGTTGCTTTATCAATATTTGTTGATGCTCCGAAACGAGTTTGAATATAAGTCATAAATTGGCATTACTAAAGTTTAATTTCAAATAATTCGAATATTTGGCATTCCAGAAGCCGATAGGTGCATGAGAAAATTAATTATTTACGTGATATTTGATATTTATTTTTTAAGTCAGCGAGATTTATTGATCGAAATAAGATAAAATTTAAAATGATTTTCTCTTCTTTTTTATAGCTATAATTTGATTAGTTCGAAAGAATTAGAAAAAAAATTGTTTACTTTTTTTCTAGATTATGCTACGATAATATTTGGCTTAGAAAAATATGTTTTGATTTTAATTCTAGAATAAGTTTGGTGAAAAATTGTGCAGCAATCATTTTTGAACTGCACATTTTTTCTCATTTGCTGTTTTCAATAAAGTTGCCAATGGATTAAAATTCAAATTTGGCGATTTTAATTATCCATCGACTAACTTCACTCGTAGGGCGGCAATCATCATAAAAATGCTGCATTAGTCCCAAAGTAGACAAAAAATTACATTAATTTGCCTATAAAAATTTGGGCGTTTACATCGTTTAGGTAATGATTTTCCACCCAACGATTTAACTCTAAATGGTTTGCTGGCCAAATTTTCAGCATCTTCTCATCTTCGACTGCACTCTTCACTATATGATCGAAATTGACGTTTAATTTTTTTTTGACCTGTTTTTTTTTTCTCGGTAAAAATTGCATTTATCAAAGGCCTAAATCGTTTGAATTTTCAAGTGCTTCTTTTTCAACAATTCAAAGACCATCCTTATATCACAAGTTATTTTGAGTAATTGCTTCTATACTTCTAACTATTTTAATTTCTGGTTTATTTTAAATGTGGATTCCATTACAATAACAATTTGTTTTTCATTTAATATTGAAACGGCATCTTTGGACGCTAGTGTCACTTAAAAAAGCGAATCTGTAACTTGATCAAATAGAAACCGGTTGCTGTGTGAATCCCGACAAGAAATTGCGGCAACTTTTATTGTGGATTCCTATTCGCATTGCGAGTATCTGCGGATATGCGAAAGAGTGTCGGCGTACACCAATTTTACCGCAAATTTCTCGTCGGGAATTGATAAAAATCTATTTTTTTTTTGGTAAATATAAAAGTGTCTTTGGATTTTATTTTTAGAGAGTTTTTAAAAATCGATAAACTTCACTCCAGCCATTCAGCCGTTTGGCTTAGTTTATCCGCGGAACAGCAATGGAATTTTGAGCCGAAAAATGTTTAGATACCAATTAGGTGATAATATTATTAGATCAACATTTTTCTTTCTTTCTTTTTATTAGGTCAACATTTTCGGTGCTCAAAATGCCACACAAGTTCCTTGTCATTTGAGTTTGTAGGCCTTTTCACATAACATTTTATAACAGTGATATTTTACGAAGCAGCAAATAAAAAAAAGCAATAAACTTAAATGTCGGAAAGCTTCCGACGGCAACATTATAAAAGTACAAATTTAGTGAAGAAAGGGGAATTTTAGACCATTTATACATAGTTATCGAGCAAAATATAAAAACAAAAACAGATCAACTATGGAGTATATGAGGGATTTTTTTTATTAATGCAGAAAACAACGAAATTGCTTGAAAGCCTTTGGTCTTGCAACGAAGCAAACTGAAGCGGAATGTATACATTCTCTATTGAACAATAAAAGTTATAAAAAAAGAAATAAGCAATAACTCGATAACTTTCGTGTGTGTGTTTTGTTTAAATAAAATAAATTAGCCATTAAAACGAATATACAAACTAAGCGTTTTGTTTCTGCTGAATATAAAAATAATTGTGTGCAGAAACAACTCTTCCCTGATTTTGGTGTATTTGATTTTTTCCATTCCTTCTGTTGTAGTACCTACATTTCATGTCGACGACAGAAATGGTAGTTACCTTTTGTGACATTTAAATCTCAATCTTTAACATGTGCACTTGGCAAAATAATACAAGAACAACATTCATTCTTTCGAACTTGTGGCGTTTTATGCGACACTGGTTCGTTTTTTGGCTGGATACAAGGACGCGTTGCCAATGCGGTTCGTTGTGATTTTTTCGAGGTGTTCGCAGCTAAGATCACGTTCGATGCTCGATGAGACCGGACACAGGGAGCGATAGTACGAGTCGATTTGGGCTAGGTCTCGTGTTGATATATTTGGTGTCATGCTAGGTAGGGCTTTCAAAAACCCGTTGGCACCGGTTGGAATGGGTGGCGCAGTTGGCATATTCGACTGCGATGTGCATCGATTGTACAAAAATGATAAATTCTGCGTGAGATTCACATGCAACGTGAGTATAAATTCCAAATCGGATTCCGATGCTTCGGCTATAAATTTGTCAAACAATTGACTCGAAATCAAGCCATAATAGCTGTAATTGTCGACACATAATTCTGTATCTTTATCGAATGCCTCCAAGTAATCGCCAAGCAATTTGGCCACAATCGCCGTTCGATCCTTGCTTTGAATCTTACTCGCATTGGGATGTCGCATGAAACTTGGCGGCTTTATAGTGAGATCCGATCGCGTAATGAATTTCAAGATGAATTTTTCGTGTTGATTCTTCGTATCGGCGCGACTGTCTTGACTCAACCGCTTGAGCACACACTCCATATACAACGAGAATATCTTTCGAGCTTGCAGCAGTGTTAATTCATTGCCATTTTCCATGGCTTTTTGCAGTTGCTTTCGCAAATGTTGCGCTTGATGATGACTTTTCACCGGGATACTTTTGAATATCTGGTCAACATTGGTGGTGACAAGCGTTCGTTCGTATTGCTTCATTCGCATTTCAATATTATTTTCGTCGGACGAAATTCCACTGTACAGTTGCGAGTGAAGCATCAAATTGAAATTGTGATTCGTTAAAACTGGTGCCATGCTAATCCCATTTACGATTGACATCGGAATGCCGGTGTGTGTGTCCAAAAACATTCCGTAGCGTTGCATGCTGTCTTGTGTGGGAAAAATTCGAATAAATCCGCCGCGTCTTGAATGCTGTGCCCGCACATTTCTCAGAACTCGATTCTCTTCAGCTGACAGCCCCAAATTGAGACGCTTACTTGCACCAAAGGCAGTTGTTGTTTTCATTTCAACGTATGGTCGACGACCCGATGCTGGCACCGAACCAGCCGGACTCTTGAAACGAAGTTTTCCATCAGCCGCAGTCCGAGATGCTGACGGACTTTGCGCTGGTACACCCACAAGTGACAATAGGTCGGTGAGCATGGCGCTCTTCACTTTTGTATCTAACGGCGTGTCGATTCCGAGTGAAGGCGACAGATTTACTTCAAGCAACCACGGCCGTAGCGTATTATCGATGAGTATATCGAAACCGTAGAGTTCGAAGCAATTGTTTTGATTTGGCACAAACATTTTGCACGCCGACACAATCGACTGTGAACAGGCGAAAATTGATTTTATGATCACGTCTTCGATGGCCTGCATCAATTGCGTCGTATCATTCCCCTGATTCTTGAGATGTCGCAGAAGTGCACTAAACGTCCACTTGTGACCAACATCCTCATCACTTTCAGTTGCTTTGATGTAATCCGAATGATACTTGTTAATGCTGTAGTTGCACAAATGCATGCAGGGATTCCATAGATTTTCAGCTGTTTTATCGTATTTTACGGTAGCCAAACGCACTAAACCCTCTTCGTAAAGGTAAATGACCAATGGATCGAACGATGTTACCACCACATACAGTCGAACATCACATTTATGCTCATCGATGCACAGCGGATCAGAGATGTATTTCGAAACAATGACTTGATCGTCGGTCGGAATTTGCTCGGGCTATAGAACAGGTGGAGACAGTTATTAAATTTTTATTGAATCTAAAAGATTGGACACTGAATTGGTAAGTATTTGATATATACCGTATTCACTAAATAAATGCCACGACCACGACTCGATGCAGCCGGTTTGACAATCCACGGACCTTTGTGCCCCGATCGATGTGCATGCACCAGATCTCGGTATTCCAACGGTAACATAAACGATATCGGCACTATGTCAAAGTGCTTCATGCCACGCAATTGTTGCATTTTCTCGATATTTTTATACAAACGATCCTTCCGCGTTAATTCATAAGACCTAAGTTTGGGAAAAAAGGAAGAAAATGGTCAAATTTAACCAAAAAAATTTGGATTTATACTTAAGCATCAAAGTGTTCCAAAACAATTTTATAATCATAACTTTGCTTATAACTTAGAACAACGAAAACTGTCATTACCTAGGAAAATGATTAACTCGTTGATAGGGCAGTAAACTTCTAAGGATGTCTGGTTTCATGTGAAGGCCAGTCCATAATAAATTAAATTTCTCATATTCTTTAGCCTCTTTCAATCCATGACTAGATAAAATTCGTTTTAATAATTTCGTTTCGGTATTGGTAAATTTATAGGTCATTTTAAGCATAGCGGCCGGCATATCATTGATCGATGTGAATGCATCGTCGATTGCATCAGCCGGTGGATTAGCCTTTAACTCATGTTCACCATCATCGGGGCTAAATCCGGATTTTGTAAGATCAGCAGTTAAGCGATTCGTTTTTCGATCGTTCGAACATGATTTTTCCGCTTTGATGATGTCCGCTTCAAAATCAGATGGATCTTCACAGGCACTTGATATCGAATTTTCACTTGACGATGACACCGAACCGCTTGGTTTAACGTTACACTTGCGATATATGTCGAAATTGGGCGCAACGAGCCGCTTCACCGATTCGTGTATTGCTGGTGATGTGGATTTTGCATCGGCAACAGGTGGAAAACGACACTTTTCGCTTGACGATGTTGATGCGTTTGGTGAATCATCGGATTCATCGTCGTCTTGTATGTTCCGTATCAAAGCTGACGTTTTGAACACTAAAACCGCACTTCTCGTGCCGACGGGACCGCCAGTTATCCATTCCGACGTTGATGTTGCATTCAAACTCAAACCAATGTCTTGCAGAATTTTTGTACTAGAAAATCAAACAGAATGAAACGAATATTAGAAATGAGCTCTAAATAAACTGAATGTATGACAATTCGATGTTTGAATTGATTGGATGAAGTCATATTGTCAAATCAAACATCCCAACATCCAATTGTATCTCTCATTTATGATGAGCGCCGATCAATTTGCTATAGAAATATTTGTGTAATTTGTTTGAATAAATCCAAATTACCGTATTCGATTTTGTTTATTCTTTTGCGATTTCAATGCCAATTTGGTATATTTTTTGAGTTGTTTTCGTTTTGATACATGAAATTGTGTGCAATCCATTGAATCATCGTAAAATGATGTTCCTTGCATGCATTTTAAAAAAATTCTTGTCGAAATGTTTCCATTACTATGGGAGAAAGTATAGAATACGAAGCGAAAAATAGATTCAAATTTGATGAACTTACCTGGTGCTTTCGCTCACCCCATGACCGTTCTCAGCTGTCGATGGCATTATTTACGTTGAGTGTTCGATAAGCACCCTGCGGTAAAAAATAGAGATGAATAACAATGATTTGATTAATATCTATGCGACATTTGTTCAAAATAAAATTGAAGTTGTAGACGACAAGGAAACGATGTTTCTAAAGAAACATATGAGGCTGTGAGAAGGAAAATGGCAATACAGGAATAAACATTCTGAAACGCATCAAGAAAAAAAATTCGCAAAAATGAATCATGAGTTCTGAATATGCAAAAGTGAAACATGAATTTACATGAGCAGCATAGGAGGTTTATGGTTCACTTTTGCGTATTCAGAACTCATGATTCACTTTTTTGAATTTTTTTTTCTTGATGCGCTTCAGAATGTTTATTCCTGTATTGCCATTTTCATTCTCACAGCCTCATATGCAAATGTCTAAAAAACAACGTCAACAATTTTCCCGTAATGAGTCAACTGAATAAACAGCGAAAAGTGTGCTGCTGTGCGCTAGTGGGAGCTTCCAATGTAAATGTGGACACGCTGCACAATTCATTCAGCCAGGTCAAGGGATTTTTTCAATATCGAACACCATGTGGCGAAACCTCTCAGACAAACATGAATGCAGCATATTACAAATCAATTGAATGATAATTTTATAATCGTCGCGTGAATAGACGCAAAGTAAAAGAAGAAGAACACAAAAACCATTTGTCTAACAATTGGAGTGTAATCAAATCAGTGTTTTTTGTTAGTTTAAAAAGCATTTGTGGCGTTTAAAATTGGGTGTATAAATAAATTAATTTGACTTTATAAATGTGGAACGTATTGTTTTTTTTGTCGGCCGGCATTGGAAACGGGTATGTGCAATCGCACAGAATGAAAATGGAGTACAGTTGTCACATAAAAATTTCGTAAAATCAATAACAAAACAGTCTTGCCTGGGTAATTTGTATACGGTAGGTGTCGGGATCGAGATCAGTTTCAGTATAGCGTGTTACAAAATGAAATGTATAAATGAACTCTTTGGTGCGCGTAAGCGAGCGAGCGAACGAGACCGATCGTTTTGTTTAGAATGTCTGGAAAGAAAAAGGTTGGTTGGGCAAGTCGAGCGGTTGTATTTTGCACACATTAATCATATTCTGTTGCTCTATTTCGTCACCTCAATTTCGGCAATCGACCGACGTCAGACGATAGCACAACACACAGTGTACACATCAATTTCATGTATTACGATTACTCGCCGTAGTCAACGTCGTCACCACATACACAGTTCAGTGTAATTTTCTCATTTAGACACTTTTATCTTATTCTTTGCGAGACAGTCGTCAATTTACCGCCAATAAGAATAGATAACAGCCGCAGTCACTCACAATGACACTTTATATTCCCTTTATTTTGGTACGTGGCGACATTCAAACTCCCACTTTCGTTCAGTTCAAATCAACGTTGTCGCATCATTTTTTGTAATCAAATTTTATTCTTTTCCACCATTTTTAGTTTGGTTATGCATTGTTCAATCCTGTGAATAGTGAAGCCATTCAATTGAAGGCCGACAATATCAATGACATACTAGGTAAGTTCGAATACAAAGTGATAAATTGATTGGAAATTTAATTGACAGCATTTGTTTACAGCCAAATATGAGCTGGTTTTTATAAATTTCTACGTGGATTGGTGTCGCTTCAGCAATCTAATGCAACCGATTTTTGATGATGCCACTGAATTGGTAATTGTCCATTTCTTTCATAACACTTATGCCCGTTGTAAGTGGTTCGGATTTAATTAAATCCAAAGATTTAATTTTCAACTTTGCGAAAACGGCCAAAAAATGAAAGCTGATTGGGTTGGACGTAAAATTTGGGCGAAAACAAGAAAAACTGGCCTTTTGAGTACACCCGATAAGCCTTATGGGGCCTTGAAATCATGATTTTCCCGAATTTCGTTAAATCCTAAAGACTTAACTTTCAAGTGCGGGATTTAAGCATTTTTCGCGCAAAACCATGTTGCAAATAAGTCAAAAATTGTTGAAAATGACCGAAAAATTCTAAATCAGCAAAAA